GCTGCCTCTTTCAGTCTTTGATGCTCCTGCGGCAGGCTATTGCCTCGCAGTTGCAAGGGATGATGCTAGGACTTCCATTTTCGGATAACATAGGCGAGGGAACCGGCTTGGTTAGTTCAAAAGAAACCAGCCATTTTGAGTCCCCTAGTTTGGGTCGTGCTGCCAACAACAAACCATTTCATCAACGACTGCAATCATAACACCGACAACAACCATGCCAATCGCACGACCCAGTAGGGCCGCCACCCGCAGCAGTCACCCACTGATCTAGGCAAACTATATGTTGCGCAAAGTTTCCTACTAAGGGACAGTCATCTTCGGCGAGCTTGTTTACCAAGATGAGCTTGCCATAACTGGACCAGACGCATTGGAAGGTTGGCAACGTTGTTCAAGAGCAAGGAGTCACCCAAAACAGAGGGCCAACAGCAAACAACAAAAAAAACAAGAAAAACATGTGTCTTGTCTAGAGTCTGCAATTGGTTCTCTCGCAAGCGCCATCCCGAGATGCCTTCGGAACCCCAAGGGCCCCCGCGGAAACGATGAAATGCGCCTCGTGAGGCTCCCCTTTCGCGTCGCGGAAGCCCAGGAAGTGGCGGTGGAGCCAATTCCGCGCGCAGAGCTGGGCCTGAGAGAAGCGGAGGCGTTGCGGGCGCTCAGCGGCATTGGTCTGGAAAACGAACAGACCCCAACTGGCTGTGGGCCAAGAATTATGTACCCCAAAATTGCGGCAAATGGATACTTGGACTACAACCTGCGGTCCAAACGAACTGGGCTGCCCTCAGATCCCTAACTTTTAGTGGGTGAAATGGAAACCCCCGCTAAGCACTAAAAGGCTAAAGAGCTAAGGGGATGGCTGGGAGCCAAGCGAAAAGACCCCAACTGTACCTCAAAAAATCAAGACGGCATTGCGTCAGGATGCGCAATGCCGAAACGTGGGGTCCTTTGACGGGCCATTCACTGATCGAAACAGTGGCGACGGGGACGCGCAAGCGGTCAGTACTTGCAGTATTCCACCGCTGATACAGACACTTGGGCGCAATCCCCGGGGAATGCTTCTCTTTTGCTGCCTCCGAATGACAGCTTGCAGAGAAAGGAAATTGTCCATGGTCACTTTGGGGCCGAAGGGAATATTCATCAACACCCCAATCGCCCCCACTAGCAGACCAATGCTCACCTTTTCGAGGCGAAAATCCGGAAAATCCCAGTCGCAGGGGCGAGGCGGATCCACCCAGAACCAAGCATGCCGGTGCCGGTGTCAAAACGAGGCGCTCCCAAATGAATCCAATTTTCTGGGGTTCTCCGAAACAAACGTCATCAAAATCGGGAGGATGGTTGCCATACAGGTTTTGACGTGTGTGTGTGTGTGAACATTGTTCACACATCTGTAAAAGTATGTGTATGCATATGCAACTAAAAACATGCGTATATATATATATATATATATATATATTATACAGGTAGTGATTGGTTGGAAATTGGGTGTGAACCCCCCCGAAACGTGTAGACACCTTCTTGAAGAATGTCTCTCTATAGGGGTCAACTCTCTCAGTAGCTTGGTAACCCTCATTTTATCCAAACGGAAACGGCAAACGCTAGCACTGCAAACTCCTATGGCTTTTGAGTTGTTTGCATCCCTGTCTGTCTGAGCGGGAACTTGTTGGACCCCCCAGAAACGAGATCACCCCCAACCACTCTCCCCATTCTTGTGAGTTGGCTCAAATTCATGGACTGAGCCAAATGATTGTCTCGGAGTCGTTAGTCAGCCCTAGGTGCCGTCTTGGAACAATACATGGCACGGACGTCGAGAACCAACCTGAAACCAGTGCCACCTATGTTCAACCACGCTGAGAGAAAAAGGATACCTAGCTGGAAATCTAGGGGCAGAGAAAAAAGTGCAGCCAGAGCAGCATCAGAAAGAAAGATCAGCGCGCTTGTGTAGATCCTGTCCTGTCGCGACCCATGCCCGCTTTCGCCCCTGTGCCCTGCATGAATCTCCCGTAAATGATTCATATGTGGGCTGCGAGTCAGATGCATGTTCCAAAAGACTACTCTTTCCATAAGGGGTGCATATTTTGGAGAACCCCTCTTAGCGTCTTGGGGGGTCCAAAACTGGGTTTGCAACCACCCCGAGTGGGAAGGGTGTGTCTTGAAAAGGGGACCGCCGAAATGGTAGGATTTGAAACGCTCAAAATGGGAGGCCCTCAAAAGCCGAACCCGTGTCAAGAATGGGGCCTTGTTTGGGGGGGAGGGGGGGTCCTTGAGAAAATTGCAAAAGCGTGGTTTCCTTTGGTGAAAATGGGATCGGTTTCCCTGTCATTTCCATTCAAAAGCATGCCAGGCTCGGGATCGCCAAGAAAGGCCACCCAGGAGCCACTGGGTTCCCGACCCAAGGAAGGAGGGTGTGCCGAAAAGATGGTTTTACCCAAAAAGCAAACAAAAACATGTATATACCCAAAAACCATCCAACACATACAAAAGAAACCCCCGTGGCTCGACCGCAAGCAGCCGCGTCCCGCAGCAGGGGGTGGCCACAGAAGGCGGCGCTGGCGCGGATCTGGTGGCGCCGCCCCGTGCGGATCCGCCAGACCTGGACGCTGGAAGCCACAGCGTTGCGGCGTTGGGGGTCATTCTGGATATATATATATATATATACATATACCCTCCCACCAGCTAACTTGGAAGTGCACAGACCCCTTTAGAAACATGACCTTCCTCTTGGAAAGGGCCTTTTTGCACTTCCATGTTGGTTGGTGGAAGGGTGTATATATATATATATAGGTATCTTCCTGAACACATGTATTATGGATATGGATTATGTTGTCTTCAGTATGCATACGTATCTTCCTTCATTATGGATATGTATCTTGCCAGAGGGTAGCGTGGTGCAGGGAAGCTCAAAGAAACGCCGAAATCAGTTGGTCGTATTTGTTTGACACATACATAGAGGAGTCTGCTCGAGGCATGTTTGGAGAAAAAGACACGTGTTCACGCTAAATGCCTCCTTTTTTAGTCCGGGGTTGACATGGTGCCATCAAATCATCACCCCTAAGGGAAACTCCGCTATATAAAACGATTCGAAGAACTTGAACCGAATTCGGTGAGAAAGTTCCTAGGGTGCGGGATCTACAGTCGTTCCTTTTCGGCGGGGAAGAAAATTGCAAAAGAAACAGCCAGTCACAATGAAAAACCTATCCGAAGCCATTGAACAACTCAAATATCCACTGACAAGGCGGGCATGTGTGGAATAGGGGGAAAGGTGTTGTGTTGTTTCCTTTCAGTTCCCTCAAGGCGCAAAAAGTACCAACCACAACAAAGAAATACCAACTCCAGGTAGCAGCCAAGAGACCTGCAGCGTCACCACCCCGCTGGTGTCCTGGACTTCAGCCGCCAGCAGCTGTGAGACCTGATTTGGGGTGCTTAGGCTCGGTACTTGTCTTGGGTTGGCTGAAGGAAACTCAAAAGGAAACCCCCCCTTTGGGGGAATCCAACCTGAAGGACTCGCAAGGAACAAGAAGGCCAAACAGGCAACAAAAGGTGCACGCCCCCTTCTTAGGCCCTTGCTTCTTGAATCGACCATGGGCCGGTGACCATCTGTTCCCTCTGTTTTGGCCGAGACATTCATAGTTTGTCAAGTGAGGATGGGTCAACTGAGGATGGGGCCTGTGAGGAAGTCCTGTGGCAACGAGGCCAGTCGGGGATGCGAGGCGATGTTCGAAAAGAAGAAGAAGAAAAAAGTATGCACAAAATATTTTTCATAACCAGTACACCCTGAAAAAGAAGTGTTCGAGCAGACCCCATTGCTTGCCGCCGCCCACCATAAGAGTCCCGCCTCAGACACGGCCACCTTGCCACGGCCCCCACGGCTGGCAGCGGCGCCATGGTAGTAGAGCCTGCCGTCCAACATGCGAATGGGGGGGGCCGGGGCCCCCCAATCCCAAGATGGGCGAATACTGTGGATGGACGAAATCCGTTCGCACCACTCGCAAACCATGCGAAACCATTGTTTGTTGGTATTTACAGGGGCGTCACATTCCAGGGTTTCTTAGATGGTGCAGGATTTCGTCCATCCACAGTAGCATCAAACAGCCTGAGGTCTAGTGGGGTCCCATTCTGCGCCCTTGCCGGGAGATTCAGTGGGGGGCCATTTACAACCATAGGATCACACGCCGTCGCTAGCCGCAGAAAGCGTAGACGTGTGAGGGCAAACAGCAAAATCCTACGTGCGCATTCACCAGCTGCGGGAAGTAAAGGGGGTACAAGATCAAGGCGCGAGTCTGGAGCATATTCCTGCACTGGCTCAGTACACCTTGGGGTAGGAAGCCGTAGGCTTCATTCATCAACAGCACCATAGCTAAAGATCAAAGGGAACATAGGGATCAACAGGCACCTTGCAATAAACCAAACGACCAGAGCTCTGCAGCCCCAAATCAAGAAATATTCATTGGGCTCAGCTTACTTCACGTGTGCGGCTTCGCAACTTGTTGACTCAAACAAACGTATATGGTTCAACAGAGATTATAACCGCCACCCATCTGCTGCCTTCAAATCAGCCAGAAGAAAGAGAGCCAGGAACCACCTATCCAGCATGCCAGCTGAAACCACCGTCGTCATGGCGTCTTGGTGTTTCATCTCATGCACTCGTTGATTGGTGGTTGCATTGGTAGGTTGGAGCCTTTAAATCCGATGAAACCGACGGAGTACACCCTGACCTCCAAAACACTGACCCCAAGCCCATGTGAAGATGATGACGCTTCAAGTTTTTGGCTTTCCTCTGCATGGAACACCCACTGCCGAGCCACGGACAAGACTTTGACGCTGAAGCTGTTTTGCTCATTCTGAGGGGCAGGGTTCCCCCCGTTTCCCCCTTGACATCACATTTCTCCCCCCCCGTCCCCCGCGAGGAATTCATCATTACATTGGCAACCAAGAGGTGATGCTTAAAGCCATTTTTTGGGGTCTTGGGGTGTTCCAAGGAACCCCCAGGACATTTTTAGGGCTAAAGGGGATGTTGATTTCCCCTATCAACCCAACACACCAAAAGCAAAGCCTAAAGGACTCCACCGCAAGCGGACCCGATGGGCCTCAGGCGAATGGTCCGGGGCTCGGCCCAGCCGTGGCTTAGGGCGGTGTAGGACCTCTGCAGCTGTCCGCAGTGCAGCTGCAGCTGGAGGTCGTAGAAGGCCTGAAGCCAACTCTTCCTAAGCACCTCTTGGTCCAAGGGATCCATCATATCTGGTTCTGTTCATGTTCAACCTGAAAATATAGAATGGTTCTGGAGATCCCAGACTTGAATTGAAAGTAAAACTGAACACTAGTGGAGCCAACATGTTGCAACTGGCGGCCCAAACCAACAGGAGTGCCCACCTACTAGTACTTACCAGCCTCTCGTTTTGCTCCCAGACTCCTACTGGTCAGGCCCTCGTGTGCGCCCCAATCAAAACCTGGTGCTAAACGGCTTCGGCTTCAGTGGCCGGTGACGTGACCGCCGGATCTAAGATGGTGCCCATTTCCAGGGCACAAACTCCCAGGTGATGCTCTAGGTTCAACAGAAACGCCATAGTACGCTGATTTGGTCTCAGCTGAACACGACCAAGACAGTGCCGGGACCCTGCCCTATCTGGGTGTCAAATAGGGCATGAAGACGAACCTTGGTTTGGTTGGGTGGGAAAAGTTAAGCGTGATCCATTCCCTTTAGGTTCCTCTTTGGAAGTCTCGCAGGATGAATCCCGACTCCATGCCCGCCGAAGGTGGTTGCTTATAGATCAAATAGATGGACTCAGGGTTGATTATGGAACACCTGGTTCTCGTAGATGCACCCCTTACAAACAGTTGGCATTTGGAGTGGCGTTGATGTTCCCCCTCCCCCCCTCCCCCCTTCCCCCAACAAAAACGACTTCCCCCCCTAAAAAGGAAAGACAGCAGTACACATCCAGCGATCCCAGCCTCATAGCTCCGGGCCAGCAGGATCAGCCCGCTGCTGGGCACGTCCAAGCGGTGAAGGAATCCGTAGTTGTGCTCCCGGTCCTGTCGACCCAAGCTTTGGGCCTGGGAAATGGATCCGGCTGGTACCAGAGTCAGCAGCCGGCATTGCAGGTGCGGAAATGGATCCCTGGAAGCCTTTCTGGGTACCAGCCCGTCAAAAAAGACGCGTCGCCAGGTGAGCAGTCTGCACTGAAGCTGCTTACATGCCGCGCTCAACCCTAAACAGAAGCCAATGGCAACATGAGGCGACAAATCAAGCTCGGGTGATATCCCCAACAACCACCCCCCTTGCACCCTTCCGGGACCCTAGTCCGGAGCCGCTCCGGACCACTCGGGAGCTTATGTGGCAGCAACCCTAAAGCTTTCAGCTGGTTGGGAAAAAAGACTGGGTCCTTTGGGTTGAATGTGGAAACCCCACACAGTGGCAACAGGGAAAAGGGAAAGCTCCTGCAAAGTTACGCATCAGTTGTCCAGCGACGACCTGGTAGAAAAACCTTGATGATTGAGTGGATTCCGCACCCACCAAAAAGGAGAAGAGTGCTGAACAACTGGGAACAATCCCTCGGATTCTGGAGCGTAGAACCGCCCTTGCACAGATTCAACAAGGATCCTGAACTCGGACATCTGGAGTCAGCGACTCATATCTTCAGATTCATTTTTATTCGTCCCCAAATCCTGTTCAAGTCAAAAAATGGAGGAACCCGTGGCGCCAAAAAAGTTGAGAGCCGGACCTGCGCAAGACCCCGGGCTCCAATTTCACAGGATCCGGTTGGCCTGGTGGATGGGCGCCGAGCTGAGCTGGCGCGCGAAGCTGAGCAGCTGGAGCCCCGCGTGCTGCCCGTAGACCTCCGCGGAAGTTGGACGGACAGTTCGGGACCAAATCACCACCAATCGCAGCAGGTCAGGACGAACACCAAATCACCACCAATCGCAGCAGGTCAGGACGAACAGAACCCAGTGGATGGTCCCAAAAAAAGTTCAGGAACTGTTTGTTGGCCACTAAAATGGTCCAGCCCCAACAAGTATAAAGAGCAGGAACTGGCGAAGTAAGGGGATGAACAGAACAAACTGCTTTTGTTGAACCACCTAAGTGCCTAAGTGCTGGGTGTTTTCAATGCATGTATCAAAAAATCTCAACCAGTCCGGGAATAGGCAAAGCACAAGTGTCTTTCCCTTGCACGCACGCAGGCAGGCAGGCAGGCAGGAAGGCTGGGTGGGTGGGCCGATGGACGGATGTTGCTATGTTTGTATGTTTGTACGTGTTCATGTGTGCGTGCGCGTAAGATACTATGGTTGCAAGGTTAAATGTTTGAACGCATGTGTTGATACTCGTATGTTTGCATGTTACTGTGTGCACGTGTGTGTGTGTGTGTGTGTGTTCTTGTGTGTGTGTGTGTGTGTTCTTGTGTGCGTGTTCTTGTGTGTGTGTGTGTTCTTGTGTGTGTGTGTGTTCTTGTGTGTGTGTTCTTGTGTGTGTGCTCTTGTGTGTGTGTGTGCTCTTGTGTGTGTGTGTGTGTTCTTGTGTGTGTGTGTGTTCTTGTGTGTGTGTGTGTGCGTTCTTGTGTGTGTGTGTTCTTGTGTGTGTGTGTGTGATTTTGTGTGTGTGTGTGTTCTTGTGTGTGTGTGTGTGTGTTCTTGCGTGTCTGTGTGTGTTCTTGCGTGCGTGCGTGCGTGGGTGCGTGGGTGCGTGGGTGCGTGGGTGCGTGGGTGCGTGGGTGCGGCGAAGGTGCGCGGGGTGCGTGGGGGTAACACGTATGGTGCGTGCGTGCCGGGCGCCGTGCAGGCGTGCGCAAGCGGCGTGGGCGCCGCGGGGCGCTGGCGCGGCGTGCGTGCGTGCGCGCCGGCGGTGCCAAGCGCTGTGAAGTTGTCAGCCGTGCGCGGGGCGTGGGGCGTGCGGCGTGGTGCTGGTGCGCTGCGGCGTGGCACGGCGCGGCGCCGTGGCGTCGCTGCGCGCGCGGGGCGCGCGCCGCGGCGCGCAGCGCCGCGGCGCGGCGCGCGGGCGTGGCGCCAAGGCGCCGGCAGCGCGCGGCGCCGCTGGTGCCGCAGGCCGCTGGCGCTGGCGCGTGGCGTTGGCGCCAGCGGCGCCGCAACGGCGCTGGGCGCCAGCGCCGCAATGGCGCCAAGGGCGTCGCGGGCACGCCACGCCACCACGCCACGCCACGCATACGCGAATGCTACGCACAGCACGGTCGCCACGCGTCGCCACGCACGCGCACGCGCCGCCACGACGATGGATGAGCACCACGTCATCACCGACGATCACCACACGGGCGAAGATCACCGCACATCAACAAGGCACGCCACGCACGCCACGCCACGCAAGCACGCGCTGGCTGCGCACACGCTACGCCACGCTGTCGCGTCACGCTACGCTACGTTGGTCGCCACATACTACTACGCCGCCACGTTACGCATGCTACGGGCATACGTTATTGATACATACATGTTACGCGCGCTATTACGCGTACGTTGTCCCATATGGTGTGCACATTCAGGCGCGGTAAAAGGTGTCAGGCAGCGCTGTGCGTGCGTGCGTGTGTGTGTGTGTGTGTGTGTGTGTGTGTGTGTGTGTGTGTGTGTGTGTGTGTGTGTGTGTGTGTGTGTGTGTGTGTGTGTGTGTGTGTGTGTGTGTGTGTGTGTGTGTGTGTGCGTGCGGGTGCAGCAGGCAGGGGCATGCAGTGCATGTAGCAAGTATGCATGGGCATGGGCATGGGCAGGGGCAGCAGGCGCAGCAAGCGTACATATGGGCATGGCACGTGCGTGCGTGCGTGCGTGGCGCGCGGCAGGCATGCAGGCGGCGCGCGTAAGGGGCATGGCAGGCAGGCGCGCATGCACAAGAAAAGGGCAGGGGCAGGTAAGGGGCATGGGTAAGGCAGGTATGTAAGGCAGGCATAAGGGGCATGTGGCGGCATATGCAGGCGCATGGCAAGGGCATGCTAAGGGCAGCGCGCGCATGCTAAGGCAGCGCAAGGCAGGCAGGCAGGCAGCAAGTAAGGCACGACATTGCATAGCAGGCAGGCAGGCAGCAAGAGGCATATGCATGAGGTGAGGCAAGGCAGGCAAGGGCATGAGCGTGGCGCATGTAAGGCATGGCGCAAGGCATGGGCATGCAAGGCAGTGTGTGTGTGTGTGTGTGTGTGTGTGTATGCTCTGTATACCTTTGAGATGGGCTGGAGCTTTCGCATGGGCACTCCCAATGAGAGCATTCATGTTACCCCGTTCGCATTTGTTGTCGTAGAATGGGAAGCGTATAATAATGGTCATGTGTGGAATTGACCAAGGATCACGGGTCAAAAAGGCACGCCCTTTTCAAAGGAAATTCTCAAAGCCGGCTATTGGGGCCCCTCCAAACTCCTCCAAATTGCAAGAGCTTACCCAGACCTTTGATGGAAATGTTGGTCCAACATCTTACATTGGCCGCATTCCCTGTTTGATCACCCAAACAAACCTCGCAAGTTGTCCTGGGAAAACAAAACTTTCAAGCAACCGACAACGACCAGCCCACATCGCTCCCATTTTCTTTCATCTCCATTGCTGGCAGCAATCAACACCGACGCATCACGAATCTCACGACGCAGACTGGTTACCAGTAGTTGAATTCCGAAGTTGGCCTCCCCTGACCTGCAGAGGGGAGAGGGTGCCACATGGATCGCACCTTTCAGGTGGCATCTGGCTGGAATCCCGAATCGATGGATCGGCAAGAAACAAACAAGGGGCCAGTGCACTACCCTTCCAAGGGCGACTCTGGGAAACAAGTTTAAGCTACTGCTGACTCTTGCAAGAGTTCCATGTCGCTGTCAGAAGGGTGCATTTAAATGCTCAAGCGCACCAGCTTGCAAGACTGGTCTAAAATAGGTTGGAGACCCCCAGTTGGAAGATGTCAATCTTCCAAAAGCAAATCGAGGTGTCGTTCAGTAAACACCAGGAAGCGACAAGCAGGAGTATCGAACCTCCAGCAAGAACTTTTCAGAGATAAGCGTGTGGACACTGGACACACACTGCCTTCTGCCTTTGCGCTGGTTGCATTGCTCCCTTAAACAAAATGCAACCACTCAAGGGGCTTTCAGGGACTGGCCCTCCGTCGGATCATGTCGAGCTTGTTCCTTCCGCGTCCCCCTCTGTACACGCCTTGCCAGAGACACTGTCACATTTGGAGGCGGACAAGCACGGACTTCCAGCTTTGCCCCCAGGGACTGTTGTCTCATTCACATCCTCCCAGGGCGAATCCGAGCCTGATAACAAAGCCTCGTTGTTCTCGCTGGCGTTGATTGTAGTACCTTGGACCACGGCCACAAATCGAGCCTGACCAAATACAGATTCAGTCTCCAAAGTGAGTCGCAAATAAGGAAAGGTATGCAACATTCGACCAATAACTTGAAAACCAGCATGATAGGCAACAAAGTCTGGGTTGTTCGGGATGTAACGACTACATAATGGAATGAAGGTGAGAAACTTCGCGAAAAGTCAAAAAACAACAACATGAAGATAGAAGTAAATCAGACAATTCATCCAGCAGCTTCATTTGGCACAGCTTTAACATGGATCCACATACTTCTAATGCCTTACCTGGATGTGAGAAAGAAGAGAACCTGGGGTGGAATGTCCATTCGGATTGATAAGATAGACAATGTAGATTACTAAAAACAGAAGAAGGAGTGTAAGCATAATGTTCTCCACAAAGCCAATCTGTTAAAGATGGAATGGGAGCTAGTAAATGTGTTCTTACGGTAACTCCCCATCAACTCATTTGTTCATGGCTAAGTATATTACGTAAATGCGGTTCCCACTAAGAAGAAGTAAATACTGATTGCAGACAACCCTGAACATATGAACGTATGACTCATAAGACAAGCATGAACTTGCAATACAGCTCTTCCAACAGGTAGAAATACAAAACAAAGTCAAAGACCCCAATGCACCATTCGAATGAAGATAATGCAAACACCTTCCATAGTATACGTCTGTAATTTAAAAAATGAAAGTCTGCTGAACTAAAATCTGATGTTACATGAGACCTAGCAAGATTCCGGAGTTCATGTGCAATGACATAGTAAGTCTCAATTTAAAAAAGAAGAAACGATTCCAACAATAATTGATGATCAAAGGACAAGGATATGATCGTAAATGCGGCGTCATTAGCAATACGAAGTAAATATTCAACAACAGAATCAGGAGTTTTTGAAAATGATTGGCTTATATCTGAACGGAGGGATCCCCAATCCTAATCTTAAGCCGTCATCTCAGAGAGTCATCTCTAATGCCACCATCTGGATTAAGGATGAAGGATTCTAAGCAACCCAGTGTCAACAAAAAACAAAACACCGCAATCATACCAGCACAGACCTCAGATAGCAAGCATTGCAATAGGGTAGGGCGTCCAAAAGGTAGGGTGTAGATGCTCAAAACTCAAAACAGCACAAGACCACGGGAGCAACTTGAGCGCGCATTGTTTTTGCGGCAACGGCAGAGACCTCCAACAGCATCCTGTGCGACAGCAATGCCAAAACACTTGGTCGCACCTTTCAGCAGCACCCCGGGCAACAAAACCCTCCAACAGCAGCGCAACAGTACAGCACCTTGCTGTCTCGGGCGCGCTCTCCGCCCAACTGCCTGCACCAGCACTTTGCAACACCTTTCAACCTGCCAAAAGTTTTGGCCTCCAAGCAGCAACCTCCATTCCACACATAGGCCAGAACCCTGCAACCTTCTTCGGCTAGAAAGAGTCAGAAGGAAAAGTGACACCATAGGTTGTCTTCAAACACGCAGCAGTTTCAAGCGTGGAACTGGAGCTATTGCCAGGAGGCTTTGCCAATCCTCGACCGGATAGATCTGTCGAGGTCTTGCGTACGTGTCTCCCTGAGACCAACTCCAGCTTCTACGGCGTGGCTCCTCAGGGCTCCATACAAGGTTCACGCAAGACATCTGGCCATGGTTCAACTTTTAATATACTGGGTTGGTCTGAGAACCCGCATTTTTTGTTCCCATGTTGCATCCCGCATGCAAATGGGCGGTAGCAAGCTTGGTGGAAAAAACACTAGTTCAAAGTGCCGAACACGGTTCGCTCAAAGTTTGTCTTAAAATGGGGAAAGTGCTGAAATTTATGATTTTCCTGTTGCAAAACAGCCCGAAAAAGGGTGCCCTCAAGAAAAACACACATCACCCTCGGTGCCAATCGCCCACAACTGGTGAAGTATGCTGAAATGGTTTGTGCTGCATATCCCAACCCTGTCCTCCACTGGACGGCCTACATCCAGAAACGTATTTCGCAGGAGCATGAAGGCCATCCGCCGGATCGCTGGGACTCGCCCAAAACGGAAAAGCCCTTCGAGCCCTTCCCCAAGTAGGGTAGGAAGGGAGGCAACTTCATCAACCCATCGCCTTCCTCCCTTCGAGCCGAAATACCCGAGTCCCCCCTGTCTCTGGTGCATGCGGCTGAAGCCCCAGATGATCATTTACCCATGGTCGGTGGTTGGTGGCTTCATCACTTACACCGCCGGCTTTCCTACCAGGTGTTGCCTACTTTCTATGGGAGTGTTGTGCCCCTTTGTTTTGTTGATCTTCAACGGACCTGACCGAAGAGCAAAAAGTCAGCTGGGGGTCTGATGCCTGAGGCAGCTCGCATCTTGAAAGAATTTGTCAGCAATGACCCATTGTCAACCACCTCACTTGTGCAGGCCACTTCCCAAAGGACCTCCATAAAATGCGTTGGCAAAAAGAATCGGGCCCCATTCAGTCAATCAGCCTAACCCACGTCCGGAACGGGTCCTGATTGAGGTGCGAGGAAAAGTCGAACGGTGCGTAAAGCTTGATCGGATCTCCAAGTCCCCTTTCGGGGTGAATTGGTGACTGGGCGCCCATTTGTCTCAGCCAGAGGTGCTCTGCTTGCACCAGTGCCCGTGCGGGCGGAAAACACCGCCCCGGCGCGCCTCCCAGCCAGCGGGTTTCAGCAGCACCGGCCGATCTCCGGAGCCGAAGACCACACGAGGCATGTCCTGTCGTAGCCCGGAATTGCGGGGTTGACGGCTCAGAACTCGGGAGGAGCCCTCCCACTTTTGGTGGGGACCATCAACAGAACAGCCCATTGACAACCATGCCCTTGAGGGTCCCAGGATTTTTGGAAACATCCGGGCCCACCGACGAAAGGAAGGGGTAGCAAGCCAAGGGCTAACACGCAAATCCGCGGTTAGTCTATCATATGCAACTCAACGCTAAGTGGAGATGACTTTGTGCACCCCCGCACTGGTCAATTGGTCAATTCAAATGCGAGAAAAACAGCGACTCTGACCGAATGGGCTGGTATTCAATGCTCAGAAATAAGTATCACCTCTTCCCCCTATAACCTTTCCCCCAAACCATAGTGTATTTAGTGTACACCCCATTTTCCCCTGGATCTTTAAACCACCCCAAATCGGACTTTGTCTCGGGACCCCTGAATTCCCTACAAGCCTGACTTGGCAACCTAGATGGTGCCGGCATGACCCACTCTTCGACACCGATTCGGGCCCTCCTTCCCTCCACACACTCTTGGCGTTTTTTTCCCTGTGCACTTGGGGTCTGATTCGCCCCCGCATGGACACTTGTCTTTGCAACCTTTTCTTCAGGGCATTCGATTTTTTGGCTTCCACTTGCGTCCGTGGACTTCCCCTCCTCCTCCTCCAGCGCCGGCAGAAGCCGCCGCTCCGCGGCCCCGGATCTCCCCGCCGCGTCCAGAGCCCGGCCCTGGCGCCGCAGCACGCGCCGCAGGCCGCGCCGCAGAGCCGCGCAGAAGCCGCCGGCCAGGTGGCAGGCGAAGGCGATGGCCAACCTGACGGATGGGCAACCTATTCTATTGCTGACCATAGTCATAGTTCAGCTTCCCTCCAATTGGTAGTTGGGTGGTGAAGGGATGGTTTCCCAATTCCCCTCTACAAAAAACAGGGGGTCAAATCCCAAATCCCAAACAATCCAAACCACCAACTACGGCTAGGTCCTCCAGTAGGGAGGTTAGTATAAGGATACCTGTTTTTTTTTCTGTAGTCTATCTCAGTACGGGAACCCTCCCCCAAACAAGTTGGTAGTGCACCTAGCTGGGGGACCCAGCTAATGTTGACCCCATATTCATCAACCAACCAATTGATTCACAGGGTGGGGTTCCCCTCCAAAAGTGATGATTCCCAGCGCTTCCATGTACAATCACTTCTTAGGAGTGAGGATTAAACACTGCCTCTGAGCATCCCAAGTTGGGAGCTGAGCCAGCGACAGCTCCTTGCCATCCCGCGCGAAGTGAAAGTCGAAGCGATGAGATCCCAAGAGCTCCTCAGGCTAAAGCCGTTTCGCCCAACGCCCGAGGGGCCCAAACGGAACACGCGCTTGGTGCACAGGCAGCAAAGAGGAAGTCTGGAAAGGGGGCCGGACTGCAACGGGAGAGCATACCAAACAATTCTGTTATATAGCATACCCTGACATATAACAGTTTATCTATTCAAGGAGACCCCAGGGGTCAGTTTACCCCCCTCCCCCCTCCAACAAAAAATAGAGAGAAACTCTGATTTGTTACCCCCTTGTTCCACTGGCCACTGGGCAAAATTTAGCAACGCATGGAAGAAATAAGTCTTATTGAAAAAATGATCGCTCAAACATGTTCAAGCCGCCTATGCCTCAGACAGCCTCCCTTTTCCCTTCAACTGGCCTTAGGGTCTGGTAGACCCCTTTTCTCCCGAAACAGATCGGCGCCGTGAATAAAACTTCCTGCGCTTCCGGGCTCCTTGCGTTGAGGTACCACAAGGGGTTTCCCACAGGGCATAATCACTTCCCCTGTGAAAATACACCCTATATGTCTCAAAATGTGTTGATTCTCGGCCAGAAAGCTCCCAATACCAAACACAACTCCAGTCGTACTAGGGAACACTTTCAAACCCAGACTAAACCCATGCCAAACCAATACTAAACCGATACTAAGAAAGCTTAAAACCAATTCAAAACCAGCACAAATCCAAAAATGACATAAATGTCTGCTACTTATGTACCTTACTCGGAAATCGTTGTTGAACGGATTGTTGGGCCGGTAAAAGGATTGAAAAATTGTTGCTTCGCCCGACGAGGTGAGAAAAAAAGGAGAATGTGATTGCTCGCATGCCACCAACAGCACCTTGGGGTTGCGTGGAGAAAAAGGAGCCAGGTCGCGTCGGAAGCCCTCAGAAAGGAAGGGACATGGGTGCTGCGATCCGTGCTCTCAGGAAAAACACCGGAGATGAAACCCGGGAAGTTCGGCGACTGCAAGGAGGCCAGACGTGAAAGCCAGGGTGATAAGAAGTGCACTCAAAAAGACGCAAGTTTGTCGAGCCATGGTGAAAACAAAAGGCAAACATTTGATCCAACATGAGTAGTACAATATGCAGGGCGTGATGGAAGGTTCATAGCTTCAATGGAACCGTACATATATATATATATACAAAATGCGATGTAATGTAATGTAATGCAATGCAATGCAATGTACTGCAAAGCAATGCAGTGCAGTGCAGTGCAGTGCAATGCAATGCAATGCAATGTAATGTAATGTAATGTACTGCAATGTACTGCAATGTACTGCAACGCAATGCAGTGCAATGCAATGCAATGCAATGCAATGTACTGCAATGTACTGCAATGTACTGCAACGCAATGCAATGCAATGTAGTGTAATGTACTGCAATGTACTGCAACGCAGTGCGTTGCAATGCAATGTAATGTACTGTAGTGTACTGTCTGTACCTATTACAAGTTCATACACTGTAAATGTCCAAACCATCCTTTCTCGCGAGTATCAGCAACACTCCTCAACCGTGAAACAGCTCCATGAACTGCTCGGCCCTTTCGGCACCCGTCAAAAGGTTTCCGGGCGCGGCAGTGTAAATACCCAGAAACCGGCTCCACGTAGCTTAACCTCCCCCTCCCGGTGGCTCCAGCACCCTGCGCTGCGCCGCCACTTCCCCGCTGCTCTGCAGCGCCAGGCTGAGCTCCGGCAGCGAGAGCAGCGGCAGCTGCGCCTGGACCTACGCTCAAGCCAGCGGCGGGGGGGGAGGGCGTGGCGGTGGGGTCGGGGTTGGTGGGGGTTGGTGGGGCGGTTGATGGACACCCCTACTTGTTGGATTTTTTTTGTGGGTGTTTGTGGAGTTGGTGGTTTTTGTGGATTGAGGCAAGGGACATGAGCGAGAACCATTTTGGGGCAACTCATTTGACACATACACGTACAGAAATGTGCCAAAACTCTAGCCCTCCAGAAACATAACGAATTCCTCATGTTCCCCCACATATCCATATTATCAAGGGGAGTTTAACAAGAACTGTCGTGGTACTGGCACTGATTCTTCGAAATCAAGCTAAAACATGAGCGCGAGAACGGGGGAATAGGTGCGGGCAAACGTGGCTGTGCTGCTTGCAACACCGGGCTCGCAGTCTCGGAAGCAGATCGTCACGAATTCGCTGACGTGTTCATCAAAGAAGTAGCTAACTAGCAGTTCGGCTAAGTAGTGACTTATCTGGCTATCTTACACACGAACTACCTCAAGAGCTTTCCCAGCTACCTGGCCAGCTAACTATCTCGCTGACCTAGCCAATAATTAGCTCAAGTAATTTAGCAAATGAGCTGTCCAACTATCAGCTAATCAACAAACCAGCTAACTGTCTAACTCGCTGGTTTAGTCTTAAACTAGCTGGCTGGCTACCGAACCAGCTAACGAGCTAACAAGAGAACTCGCAAAATAGCTGACTAGCCCACGATAACTCGGCGAACATTGGGCGAATGATTTCTCCGGAGTCGTCATTCCCAAGAAGAGGCGGGGGAGTGGGGAAGTATCACACCAGCTTGTTTTGCCGCTTGTTGGGACCAACCCAAAGCTTATGTTTGCGCCGAGTACTTGGTGGACTGAGGAACTGCCAGTTTTGTTCTTCACCTCCTAACGTTCCATGGTGGAGCTGAGGATGCCAACACCCATTGTTCTTTCAACAAACCGTTTCCAGGTTCCCAGGTGTTGGCGTTGGGCAATTGGCTGAGCAAAAGGATCCTTGAAGAGGACGGGAGGTTCGGCAATAAGGATCTCAAGCCAAACCAATCTGGGGCAACATGATTATTGGCGAAAATTGCCTATGTTGTTTCAGGACTCCCTGGGAACAACTGTGGGATTTCCGAGCTGTCCACTTCTGCCATGCTAAAGGGGCTTCCCGTTTGACGCATGGTCCTGTCCAGAAGGCGTAAAATAAACAAAGCTTGAAAGGTAAGCTCATGGCTGTTAGAGGTCATGTTGACGTCAACGCATGCTCCCCTCTGCCCGGTCAGCATTGTCCAGGCGTCCTTTCCCTTTCGAGGCAGGAAGCCCACTCTTCTGCAACAGATCCACCCCAATTCCGTCTACCTGAGATTCCGAACACGAGATTGTCCATGGGCGGTCAACAAAAAAGACGTCTGATTCAAAATACAGAACAGATCCACAAACATATCTTAGCAAAGGCTTCCATAAGAAGCGACCACAGACTTCTGGCCCAACCCTGCCCTGCATGTCGTACAGGTCCCTTTCCGTCGCCTGCTCAGCGGCCAGGCGTCGGAAGTGCGGATTCTCCGCGCCCAAGACGTCCGCGGCCCAGCAGGCGGTGACCAGCGCGAACTTGGACGGGGACCGCCTTGGAGACGACAAACTTCCGGAAAATGGGCCGGGCGAGGCTTGGGGGAAAACCGTGGATGAGACATGCCATATCATGAAAATACATATCTAAACATACATGTTCATCCCTACACATACCAGATATATGTATAGAGGCACAGAAACAAACATGGACAATGGACATCATCAGTTCCGTGACTCCACGCATGGCCAGATTTCTTCCTTGACATCACTTTGGTAAGCTTGCCAACCAACTCGGCACTTGACTTTTCACAGAAAAACGGGACAGTGTGCAACAGACCGTGACCAACACAACCCAAGGTGTTTATACATGTGGTTCCGTGGCAGTCCTTGCGGGGGGATGGCCTAAGGATGGCCGTCTTGCCCGGACGACCATCCCTGCACGCGTGGTAAGATTCAGCGTTGTGGCTTATGGAGCACCCCAAACGAGTCCCAAATCCATCCATGTCATGCTGGTGTCCCTTCGAAGATCTGCAAAATCATGGGCTGTCAGCAACCATGTCCGGGCTCCCGTGTTTTGAATTCCCATATTTTGAATTAGATTATTATCCCTCCAGTGTTTTTCTTGGATGCTTGCTCGAGAGCCTGGTATTGTGTTTGGATTCCCGCCTAAGGGTCTAGGGCCGGAAACAAGGCTTTCTTGAAGGGAGGAGGCCTTGTTTTCAGCCCCAAAAAAACACCAGGCACTTGAAGAAGCCTTCTATATATACGGACCCAGGCACGGATAGGTCAAAAGGTATGAAATAACAATAAAGCAGTCGGATTGAACCGCGGCGTTTTTGTGTTGTTTGGAATCACCAGTTGCTCACTCACTTGGAGAGTCCCACATCAGGAACTCCAACATGTTTGAAAGAAAAGCAGCAAGTGTGATTTCAAACCAAAAAAACGGCCCCTGCTGCCCCATCTTCACCTTCACCTCCCCCCCCCCTCCCCGCCCCCCGAATCCATAGCACATCCCCCGCCCCCCACCCCACCGCGCCTCAGCGCGCGGAAAACCTCCCGGCAGGCGCCGTGGATCGGCGCCGCGCGGGTCTCGTGGACCGCCGCCAAGGCCCACAGCAGGGACCTCCGCCGCGGCGCCCGCGGTCGCGTCGATTGCCGCGACGGCTCGACCGACGGCGTTTTTTTTTTTGGTTGGGGACGGGAAGAGGTTGTTTTTTTGCCAGGCGACCGGCCAACCGACCGACCGAGGTTGGAGGCGCGGCGCAATTCTTTGAGGGTTTTACCAACCAACGAGGGAAGGTGGAGGTTAGAGGTGATTCTTTTGGGGCACCAGCGACGAGGGTAGAGGTGGTTTTTACCAACCAACCAATCAACCGAACACAAACAAACAAACTGCGGAAAACAAGCAAGCAAGCAGGCAGGCAAGCAAGCAAGCAGGCAGGCAAGCAAGCAAGCAGGCAGGCAGGCAAGCAAGAAAGCAGGCAGGCAAGCAATCAAGCAAGCAGGCAGGCAAGCAATCAAGCAAGCAGGCAGGCAAGCAAGCAAGCAGGCAGGCAAGCAAGCAAGCAAGCAAGCCATGACGTGCCATCTAGGTCTAGGAATGTGTTTGAACACCTTTGCCACGGTAAATACCACCTTTTTAGTCATGCCTGCACATCATCCCCCGCAAAAAAGGCGAACAACGAAAGCATTTCGAGGAGAACGGGGGCACCCGGCCCCGCGCTCTTCCTGTTGGGCGCCCCCACGTGGGCGGGCGCTTCGGCGCCCACACGAAGCTTCGGGCGGCGCCCAGGTCCGTCTTGGCCGTCTCGGCGAGCCAGGCGTCGCAGAGGGCCAGGGGGAAGGAAGGCCTAGTTCCCCAAAGCGAAGCCAAGGACACCGAAAGGAAACCCATCAGGAAACCGAAAGGAAAAATCAGGATGGGCAAACATCAGGAAACATCAAGAAACATCAAGAAACATCAACCAAGCAAACCCAAAGGACACCCATCAGGAAAGATCAGGAAGCAGGAAGCAAGAGTTTGTGTCTCAAAAGGAAAGTCGCTTAAGGCTCAAAGTGATGTTCAAATGTAAAGGAAGTATAGGGAGCCTTGGGATGGGAAACCCAACTCTATTTTCCATTTGGGTGGTTTTGAGTATCACCTTGGGTCATTCGAAGTGAGTTTCCTGTTGGGGAGGCGGACTGCCCCGGAACATGCGCAAACCTCGAATTTCCGGTGTGCTTCCGTCAAGTGAATTTCTGAAGTTCGCACACCTCAACCATTCTCCGTTTTGGGCAACCATCCGTTTTGGGCTTGGTTTATGGTTGTCAGGTCCCCGCACCAAAAAGAGGGGACCCGCTCCTAAAGAAAGAAATCTATTGGCCCCTTCTAGGCCCATGATCAGTCCCTACACTTAAGAAGCCCTGGTTTCTGATGATTCCCCTGCAATTTGCCAAACATTCAATCCTTTCCCATGGTTTCAACACGGTGCGAAATGGGACTTCGTTCCATCCATTACTGTGGATAGACAAAATCCTGCATCACTTTGAAACCATGGCTGAATCCATTGTTTCTTGATATGTGCAGGGGAATCATCAGAAATCAGGGTTTCTCAAAGGTGCTGCGAGAAGCGAAATGGATTTCGAAACCATCCACAGTAGTGCTTTTTCCTTGTTTCTAGCGGTAGTGGTAGTGGTAGTTGATTCTTAAAAAAAAAAGTGCTCGTTCCATCCACATGCCCCTCTTGGGCTTGGGGAACCAACCACTCGCCGCGAGAACCCCATCTCAACGAGCTGCAGGGAAGCGATCAGCTCTAGCGCCGGGCGCCAGGCGCCGTGACCCGCCACCGACACCTCGCGGCCACTTGGCCATGGGCGTACCCCCGGTGAACTCCCAATCCCCATGAAAATAGGTTCTAAAATGGCTCCCAGTCCCGGTTCTAAAATGGCTGGTCACAACCCAGGAAATTTCTGGCGAACATCAAAATAGGTGGTACACGGGTGTTCATCCGCCCCAAAATGGAGGCATAGGTTGTGACCCATGGCCAAATGGGTGGTGCACCTACAATGGTACCATTGGTTTTGACAACCACAGCCACTCGGAGCTTCCCAAGGAACTGAGGAATCACCGCGCACCGACACCAACCCATTGCTTCCTTGGAGATGGGTTCATTGCCCAAACCCCAGTGGATTCCCAAAGAGAACCCGCAAGACGGTCCGGGACTTGGCGGTTGAATGGGACAGACAACCAACATAGAATTCAGATCATCCACCATTGCTTCCAAAAAAAGGCACGTCTTGCGTGTAGGTACCCTTTTGGCGAAACTTTCTGGGCTTGAGTCGAAACCGAACAGGAAACCCCCTCCGATTCGTTTTGGTCCTATGAGCCCAACAGCCATGATCGAAATGTGTGGCTGCCATCAGAGGGGTGCGTTTGCAGCTGGTGGGCCTGTCCTCAAATCAACCCTGTGGATTAAGACCACCATGTCTTATTCCCCCTTCAAATGTTGAAGAAATATTCCAGACCCTGGTCAAAACCTGCGGTTTTCTTCCCATGGTCGACCCTGTGGATCCCTTCGCCGGGCCGCAAGGCGCTGGCAGCTCGCGCCCGGCGCCTGGCGCGCCCGAAGCATACGCTGGAGCCACCGAAAGGCCTGGGGCCAGTCGCCTTCCGGCAAACCGCCCAGCGACCTCAGAGCGAAGCATCCATATTCTACCGGGGGGGGGGGGGGAGAACCTTTGGTTTGCCTTTGGTTTTACCTGAAAAGGAGCTCTCAAAGAGACAAAGCAGGACTTAGTCCAAGTCCTAAAATGCCAACCGAAATGAAATATGAATCCCATCTTGAGAAACACTCATGCGGACGTTTCTCAAAATGTGGGGAGCCCCGGAAAAGATTGGTTTCCCTGTGGTGCCACGAGACAAATTAACGGAAGTGGGTCCCTCCATTGAGCACAACCCCGGTTGGATTGTCTCCAAATCTACCCTGACGCACGACCGAGGGAAAGTACCAAAAGGGTCAAAAGGCCGGGATTGGGCAAGTGCCTAAAGAAACCCGGCGATTGCGGGGGTCGCTTATTTTTGAACAAATTCATGCGGAATGAAAGGTATTTGTTGAAAAGGCAAATACATTTTTCCTGATGTAACCCGGCAGAATGAGAAGCCACGGGGTCCTCCGCTAAAAAAGAGAGGGCCAAAGCTGCGAAGGAAATCCATTTTCTGGTTGGGGGGGGGGGCAAGGATGTTCATCCTCAAAATGGCACAAAAGGCTTGTCTACCATGATGGTGAGGGGACAGAACTCCTTGACACTCCAGTCCGTTGCAAATCAGGGTACTGTGGGGTCAAGGATAAGATTAAGCGAGGAGAGACCTCAACTTGGATGCGCTTGACACGTGCCACGCACAGCGCTGTCTGTGCGCATGGGCCCAACCCTCAGCAAGCTCGGGGAGTCCGTTTTGGAATCGCCAAAACTTGCGCTGGGCCCTCAGGGTTGTATTCCAATGTCCTTAGAACTGAGAGCCATCTTACTCTTGAAAATCTTAGAGCAATTTCCATGTTACCTGACCAGCAAACATAGCCAGCGGAGGCCTCGTTTCGGACCTCTAGGGGACAAATAACATGCGCCCAACAAACCACTAGTATCACTGTAGTAGGTAACCAGCCATTATCCTTTTGGTTTAAGGGTGGCACCAACTTGGTTATCTATACAGGAGATGGAATCACTGGGCAGAGCATTGCATATAAACAAGTTCAGATTGCTCGGAGCTACCCTCAAACAAATTGGCAGAAGGAACCTCAAGGGCTTCGCCCACTGGTTTCGGACCATGGCACCTCGATGGCGCCTCCTTTCAGGCTGCATGTACTTTTTTCGCCCCACATAATTTCTGAAACCAAACTCTTGGAGCGGCCGTGGTGCCTTCCGCGGGTTTGCCGTCCGAGCGGCAGAGCCGCCCGCCAATGGCCGTGCACGGCTTCCGTCCCGTCCGTGCAAGTTCCAAGGGCCAAGGCAACCTGGGCCACTGGGCGCCAGCGGCGGTCCAAGGGCTTCTTTGGGGTTGGTGCGGAAAGCATCGGTTGTCAAATGGGAACCGCACACGGCTGAACCGCAAACGTGCCCGAACACCTCAGGTTGTGGGTGCCCCGATCTTGCGTGGTGCTGCTCCCTGGTTGGCTGGCAACGATCGACGCAATGAGGATTGGCTTTTCGTGGCGGGCACGGTGAAAAACGGCTTCTTTCGCATCGGACAATTACTGCTTTGCTATTGTCACCCTTGAATTCGAGTTGGCGGAGAACCCAGGCCCCAGACACACCCTGTAAGGGGATTGCTGGTTCCTGCGTGCAAGCCGGTTCAAATATTACGCTGGCCTGCCTTCAAGGGGGTCAAGAGCTGCCCAAGGGTCAAGAAAGGGGTTCTTTGATTGACTACCTCACAACAAAGACTGCTGTGCATCTAACATGAGAGGAGCCACCAGTTCTGCTTCCCAAACCGGTCTTCCCAAAACTTGCGGACATGCCAATGTGTGAAAACGAGCTCCAGACCCGGTCTGAAAGCTGACCTAGGCTAATTCCCCTGTACGGCACAATATGAAAGCATCTCAGGAATCGCAAAGGCGGGAAACATATGGAAACGTTGAGGGAATTCCCCTGCTAGATAAGTGCAATATACAAGCCTCCAGTTGAAATGTTCAGGTGGCCAAAGGACTCTGACATTTGCGTCGGTCTTCGACCCCCTGCAAGAGCCACTCAACTTGTCCAATTGGAAAGCAATTTCCCACCAGTCAAAGGGCAGTGATGACGAGTCATTGACCAAAGGATCCTTGCAACTTGGTGACTCTTGAGCCCTGCCCACCAGTTTAACTTGTTGCTGGCAGGTGGGAACCTAATCATCTCCCAAGAAGCTAAAGATCCAACCAACTAGCAGCCAAGCCAAGAAGTCAGTCCCAACGAAGACGATAAGCGCTGTCCGAGGTGCCTGCCATGCCTTTCCTTGGACTTGCCCGCGACTCGCAAATCCCAAAAGGCTCCGGATGGCTCAGCATCGCTTCTCCCCTCCCTTTGCTTGGATGTCCGCGTTAAGACATGTTGAGACCCATAATTGAGGCACTCCCTGGCAGAGTGTCTCTTTCATCCAGGGTACCAGCACATCCTGCTGCCGCGGTGTACAGTGCAGCGCTCGGTCGCAGCGAGTTTGAGAAGTCCTGGCACATGCAGCTGGCTCGGTTGGTTTTGGGGTTGGCTCAAAGGAAAATCAAAGGGAAACCCGCCATATTAAGGGCTTCCCTATACAGAGGCACAAGTAGACCTGGCCATTCCCTGGCCAAGTCTGATATGAGCCTGTGATCAAGCAACGTGATAGAGTCCTGAATCAGAAGCCTGACCAACTGCAACGGGCCACCGCCAACCTGCAATCTCGCCGCGAAAACTGCGGATTCTTCTTAAATGCCTGTCAAGACAAGGGCCACTACCATTCTAGGCTCCAAGAACCCTTCTTCGGGGCAGGGAGGCCCTAGGTTTCTCCCCTCTGCTTGAATTACCCCAAGATCAAAAGATGACCCCTGAGTCATACCCTGGCCTCCGCCTCCCAGGAAGAGAATCCTGAATCCCCACATATCCAGGAATCACCCCAAGGCCCGAACATGACTCCATCCTCCCACTAAACGGAGAACCATGTCTGATTCGTATGAGATTCATCCGATGTTGACACGAAAACGTCTACTATATGTAGTCGGTGAGTGTGGGGGAGGGGTTAAGACCAAATCAAGTCATGAATCATGTTTGTGGTAGTTTCTAGGACCTATTACAAAGAACAAGCAAGAATCGATTTGGCGTCACCAGAGTTCGCCCGCTCGCTCCTTCACCAGCCGAAGGGCCCGCGCCCAAGCCCCGTCTGCTAATCGCCCCAGGCAGGCGACCAGCAGCGCCGCGTCGCCGTGGGATGAAATGAGGAGGGCGGCCTCTCGTGCGCAAAAACGTGAATGTCCTTTTTTGGAGGGTACCCTCCTGCCAACATAAAACCTGACTGAGGGGTCCTGGAAGACAATGTTCGATTGAAAGGTTTCTTTTTTCTGGTGGGTTCCATGTTAGTGGAAAGGAGAGTTCCCCTATTTTGGTGGTGTTAGACGAAAACCGGCTGAAATGGAAACCAAGGAAAACCGACTTCGGAAAAAGGGACACACCCATAGACCCCCCATGGAGGCCCCCAAACAACGGGAAGACCACCAAAGGAACTGTTTATTGCCACCAAGGGGAAACCACAGTCATCACCCAAATGTTGGCCCAAAACTGGCCGAATTTGTTGAAATCGCACGGTCACAACTGGCTCCAGTGGGAAAACTTGCCAATCACGCGGTTTGGGCTGGCAATCTGAACAGTGAGCCTAACATGGCCCGAAAGGCAGTGCCTCCATTTTGGGATAGGTGATGTCCTTTTTGGTTGTTGGAACATCGCTTCAGGGGGCAGCGTTGATCAAGTGTGCCTTTTGGCTGAGTGATGGAACCCCCCAATAAGGTTGCTCACCATTTCACGGAAGCCAACAGGCCTCAAGGTTTCAGCCCAGGACCACGTCAGTGTTGTGGAAAGAAAGGAAACGGAACTGCGAGCAGTACCCAGGAAGACAAAGTCATGCAATGTGGCCCCAGGCAGGGGCCATCGTCGTGACCCTGGTGAAAACCAGAAAAGCGGTTCATGTATTGCGCAAAACAGTTCAGAAACTTAGCGTGTCACTGCTCAAGGGAGGCCTGCTCCTGGGATTCTTAGTCCCTTCAGTAAGAGTTGTTGACTCTTTACGTAGATTTTTGCACCCTCCGTTTGAGACCATGTCCACCAAAGGGTAGTTGAATCTTGGGATTGTTGCTCTTGCATTTAGAAAGGATGGGAAAAGGAACTGAACCATACGACAAGACGCAGACAAGGTAGGGAGCTGAGCAAAGATTGGTTGGGATGATCTCCAGCCCTGATACCCACGACCACCCTGCCCGTCCTGCCAAGGAATTCCAGCGGAGACAACAGCAGTGCGTGTGATCATATCAGGTTGCAAGCGCTGCGCAGGAAGGTTGTTGAAGATTCGGAGGCAATGCCTCGGTCATCAACTGATTCCTGACACAGGATTTGATCAGGCGGTGCCCCAAGAAGGAAATCTCCCACAGAGGAGCTGAGTTATAATCACACGGCTGTGAATTTGAACAGGGACCCTTCAGTGGACATCATTTCGGTCGGGATTCATGTCCACCAACCATTTTGAGGTGGCATTCAAATTCATGGCCAGTTGGGGGAGGTTATTGAATGGGGGGATTCAATCAAAAATCAAGGTGAACCTCCGTGACATCGCACCATCCGTGAGGCAATCCCAGGCCTCAACCCGAGACTCTGAAACTCACCTCACCAGACCCAACTGATCGAAAGCTGACAAAGGGAAACCCGGCCGAAACACGGGGAACGGCACGGGAAAACCAAACATGACGATAGAAATAGGCCACATCTAAACAAACGCAAGGAGGGAAAGTCAGCTTTGAACGAGTGAGGTTCGGATCTGATGCCCAGCCTTCACCCTGCCCCTCACTGCAAGTGAGAAATACCTGCGGCCGGCTCAGTTCCCGCCCCAAAGTTGGGGCCCAACCTGGCCATCGGAACGCCCGCGTTTCGCTCTTTGTTTGTTCCGGGCCGCGGCCACCTCTCACGGAGGCCGCGCAAGGCACAGTTCGAGGTCACCAGATCCTGGCCGAGGGCCAAAAGGTGCAGCTGCAAGAGCCGAGCATGGGGTAAGCACTTGGAAAGCAAAAGTCCTTGGAACCCAAAGGCTCTACTTGGGGCCTTGGATGATGCGAACGCGGGCTCGCGGGGTGGTGTCCATCTGGGTGTCTCCATCCAACGAAAGTGTGGGATGCGTCTGGACAAATGGAGGGGGGGTCCAATCAATCTCCGCAAATTCGAGATCCCCAGTCAGAGAGTGGTTCAAGGCAACAAAGGAGATCCGATCCAACCTATCAGGCACACCTAATGCTGCTGGACCCACCCAGGTGAAAGAGGCCAAAAGAGGTGCCCTGGTTCAAGCAAAGTGGACGAGAGTTGCTTTTTGGAAAAAAGGGGCCCTGTTTTGACAACACACACACACACACAGAGACACTGGTATACCCCAAACATACCCTCTGCAAAGAGTCGCTAGACATGTATTGTAGCCGGTTCCCCCACAAGTACTGGCCCATTGCTCCCGTATGCAGAGATTGAGATCGGCCACCGGAGGAGAGGAACAAACTGGAAAAGTGGATGATGGCGCCAGTGTAGAATGTCTGGTTATCACTCTGTCTTCAGTCCGGGCCCTCGAGAAGACACCCAAAATGTCCAGCTGGCTCAAAGGGAGGGGAAGTTGCTTCCAAACTAGGAATAACTAGGGCGCGCCTCAGAACAAGGATACTTCGCCTGCACAAAATCAAGCAAGAGAACCTGCAATGCACATGTTCACTGCTTTCTTTCATATTCCCCCAGCCACGGGAAAAAGAACACCCCACCCATTAGAAAGGATGCCCTTTTGGTGCTGGGTGTGTTTTAGAGGAATCCCAGACAAACCCTGGTGGTTGAAGCGAAACCAGGAGAAACGGTGCAACTTGACAAGGCATGTAATCAGCGAAGCCCCCGAGCCGAGCGAAACAAGAGCCTTCTGACAATGCGAGTCATGTATCCCTCTCAGAACATCCCAGCCGGGCCACTTGCTTTGTACTTCCCACATCTGAAACATAAAAATCAGAAAATATGTTTCTTTGTAGTTCCCACATCTAAATTTTGACAATCTGTTTATTTCAGACCTTCATCAGCTCGGGTTTATTGTTCCTTTGGTGCGGCGTTCCATGCCCTCCGCGCCTGCGGCACCTGCCGCGCCAGCTGCACCGCCAGGCGCCAGGCGCCCGAAGCGGCCGACGCGGCGGAGTCTTCCGCCGCCGCGCGCGCCAGCGCGGCCGCGCTGAAGGGGTCGCCAGGGGAGAAGAGGTGCACAGCCAGGCGCCACTGTCCGCCTGAAAACCGCTGAGGCAAAAGCCGATATTTGGACGCGCCAGCCTGAAGACAAAAGGAAGCCTGGTTGTATGACCGCCTTCCTTGCTCCGAGGCTTGGTTGCGAAACCTGAATATGGGGATATCTAAACAACTTGGCCAGGCAGGACTTTCTTGAAGGTAACATGTCGCGAGCTCCTTCGAGTGGCAAGATGGCGACTCCGCCCTTGAACGGCTTGGTGAAGGCTAAGGAGTTATTGATACAAATTGCCTGGAGGATTGGCTTGAAACAATGGTGACGGGTCATGGTTGCTAACAATCGTGCACAATGGTGGTAAACCGGGGTGATGCTTGCCTTGCCACTTTGAACAAGGTCGCAAGCAGTTTGGTCGCAAAGCATTCGTCTCTGGGTTTTTGTTCGGGCCACGTGGCAAGCGGGACCCCCAAATCAAGCTTTGCTCCCCCAAAGAACTCGGGCTGATGGCCGCCGAGAAAAAACGAAAAGTCTGGAGGGTACCCTCAAAAGACCCATTTGGCTGTGGCTCAAAAAACCGGTACCAAAATGGAACCCTGGCAAGTGGAACCACCCATTTCTGGCGGGCAAGTGGCCCCTGAGACTTGCCATGACGGAGTTCCTGGACACCGCGTCGGCCCCAACTCGTAGCAGCGCCATGGCGCACAGCAGACTCAGCGCATCTGTCCAGGACGCGCCCGCCACTAAGGCGGCGTTGAAGGTGATCACGTCCTTGGCACCATAAAGACTCGGGCAACCCCAAAAGGGTTGCCCTGGTAAGTGGCAACATGGACGATTTAAGCTGCGGTCCATTGCCTGGTAGTTTAATTTTGACCCAAGTGAAACTTTGAAGGGTACCTTAAAGTCCGCCCGAGCGAAGCAACCGAGAGGTAAGCATAATAACTAGTACCTGAGGCGCCCCCTACCCCCCTGCTGAGATTGTTTTTGGAGTTGAGCTTTAGAGCATATGTTTGAGTGCATGTCGCAGCGCGAGGGCGCTTCTTAGCCAACAGTGAGGTATTCGACCTTGTGGCAATGTTTATGGGGCTTTGGGAGGTTGCAGCCGCTTTTGGGTTTCGCGATTACCACAGAGAAGGCGCAATTCTATGGCTCAGTGGCAGGCTGTTTTGATGTGCTTGCTTCAGGCTGCTGCTTGTGTCTGGGGAGTCGGTTTGTGTCTGTGCCTTGGGGGGGTGTTGTCCACAAGCTCTCAGCCTTTGGGTTTCAGCACCACCCCTACCATATTGTGTGTGTGCTTGTATGTGTGTGTGTGTGCCGCGCTGGTACTTGGCCTGAGGGTGATGGGCTTTGCAGTTTTGCAGGAAGATAGCCATGTGTTTTCACAACAGCCGAGTTCTAATTCATTGTTGAGGGTGTCTCATTTGACCGTCATTGGAGTTCTTTCGGGACACGGTGGTTTCCCTCCACACGCATACCCATTAAGAGGGCGATCTTGAGGAGGTGAACACTTTGAAACGTCCCTTTCGAGGGACCCGTCAGTTGATCAAGGACCCATTGTTGCAAAACCCCACGAAAACCCGTCCACTTCGCTCAGGTAAGTCTTCTTGGATGTCACATTTGTTTGGACCCACTTGGAGAGGGGCTATCCCTTAAGGCCTTATTACGGCTTTTATCCACGAAAAGTAGTCGCCTATCGGCTTCAAAGTTTATTCCCCTGGGCGGTTCTTATCATCGGGGAAGGAATGTTCATTGGAGAAGGGGATTGAACATGGACGGAGATAGGTTTCCCTTATGGACGGTGTGCTGACGAAATGTTTGGCCTGGAAAGTGACAAGAGCAAAGCATCCTTGCGAGCAGCCAGAATCAGCATCCCCATCGCCAAGCCATGATAACCACACATTGCACCCAACAAACAGAAAACGACTCCAGGCGAAGGTTCCGATCTCAGCTCCTCTCTGTGAAGATCCTTGAGCATCTTGAGGGCCGCTATCCAAGCGCCACGCGCAGCAGACAGCGCGGCGTTGTACGAGGCGACCCGCTCAGGGGCAGAGATCTCACCCGTGTTGGACAGCAAGTGGCAGGCCAGCTCCCATTGTCTGCCCTTGCCTCGCTTCAAAATCCGACTGTCCAGGGAGTCCCAAGGGTGAACATCCCAGAAAGGGTCCAGAAAAGACGATCGGCCAGCAAAAGCAGATTCTTACAAGGTCATGTGTTCCGTGAAACCTTGTATTGCCAGCTCTTCAATGAGTACTCCCTTGAAAGAGAGGGTTGGATGGCAGGCGATGTGTTCCGTGATTGCCAGCCGCTTTTCTCAGTCAGAAGAGTACCTGCTTGAAAGACTGGATGGCAGTGCCATCTCTGGATGCCCCAGAAACCCGTCCCCGCCGACCTGCGGCGGCCACGGCGGTGAGGTGGGTCACGGCGCTCGCCAAGCGTCGCTCCTGGAGGAGGAGGAGGAACTGCAGCGCTTGCTGCCAGCGGCTGTTCCTCGAGGCGAGGGTTCTCGATGGATGTTGAGCAGAGATGGACCCATTGGCTTGGGTGGGTGGGTGCGTGGGTGGGTGGGTGGATGGGGGCTAGTTGGGGGGGTTGGGGCCAGTTGGCGGGGGTTGGGGTCGGGGGTTGGGCGGGGGACATAATTGAGGGTGGAACTTATGTGCCGCTTTTGTGGGGTGCATTGAAACTCATGGCCATGCGTTGCCTGTAGCTACCCAAGAGGAGCACCGCGAAAAGGAGCCTGAAAGAGATTGGTACCTTTGATTGGGTTCCAACCCGCTTTTTGTGGGCAAATCCCAAGCCGTCTCGGGGGGGCGCGACAAGGCCTTTTAGTGCCCAGTTTAAGGGCGCCCCTTCACCCGACGTCGGCTGGATGGAGACACAACTAATGCTTCCTCTTCATTTCTGTGCCAAACCATGTAAAAGACTGGCCCTAATTTCAGGAATTGCGACACCTTTCCCAACCAGAGACTACAGAGCAACAACGTCACATCTCATTGCCCCAAGAAACAGATCGAAAGGAGCGCCATATCATGGGAAAGGCCGTATCACCAGGAGAAAGCCCAAGAGGTGTCCGGTAACGATCGGTGCGTTCATAATACGTACCCCTGAAAGAGCGGGTATTGGGTGCGGTGAGCGAGCTGGATCTCTTTGGAGTTCCCCGAAAATCGTTGCTTTTTCGTGCCGTCTTGGCTAGCTTGGACCGAGAATTCGCGGGGGACTACACCCAGAAGGGACACCTCGTGCATAGCTGCGACAACAAAGGCACTCGAGCCCAGGCTCCGTTCGCAAGCGCCCATGGCCGCATTGTAGGTGACCACGCTCGCCTGCACTTTGCGGCTCTGCAAGAGACGAAGGACGTGTAAGGCGCGCTGCCACTGTGACTGCTTGCCACAGGCGCTGATGGCCTCGAGTGGAAAACGGGCCCGCGGGTGTGAAATCACGTGGGAGATCGAACACGCATATATATATATATATATATATATGGTCCCCCGCCCCCGCCCCCCCGAGGGCCTACCTTTCCTCTCTTCTAGTTGAAGGTGTCAAGTCTACTCCGTGTGCCTTGTTCTTGCAAATTCCTGAAAACACTGTAAAATACAATGTTGTTGGTGTTTTACCTTCTATCTGACAGCAATTGTGTGCTTTGTTTAAGCTTGAGAGGCAACAAAGCGAAAACGGAATCCGTTTTCAGATTCGAGTCTGGCTTTGATCGAAAACACTGGTTGTTGCATTGGTTTTGAGTACACCAGGGAACACTTGAAAACATGATGTTTTTGCACAGACCCAAAGGCACAACATCTCTTGACAATGAAAGCTCTGAGACCTGCACATGCCAAACAAATCTCCAGACCAATAATTTTGGGAGTCTGGGGATATTTGCCCAGCATTTGTTTAGCCACATTTAATCTAAATCATATTTGGGAATGAGTTACTGTTAAAATGTGTTTGCAGCCAAGTGATTTCTTTCCAGATTAAGCTCTATACCAACTTAAGTCATACTTGGGAAGGGGTTCTTCATTAATTGCTTATGTTCCAAAGCCAATTGAATCTGTCTGCACTAAAGCATATTTAAACTCTACTGAAATGTTAATTGTCCATATGTGGAAAGGTATTCCTATTCAAATTCTGATTAAATATAGAAATCATGGTGAATTATGAATTGTGGTGAACTATGTCCTCACTAAATTCTATTCAATATTCAAATTCAATTCGGAGCAAAATATTATTTGGAAAGGAATGTAGACTTGTACATGTTGCAGGACTCCCGGCTCCAAATTATGAGGCTTGGAGAATCCAACATAAGACATTTCGAGGATTCTGATCTCCTGATTCTAGGCTTTAGGTGTTCCAAAATGGAAATGTCAAGGGATTGGAGGTCCAACAAAATGCTAAACGAAAAACGCGGTGTCTTGCAGAAATTGCTCAGATTGTGTTCCCTTGGACCGAAGATTGTTTCTTCTCCCAAACGACATTTTGTCCCCAAACAACAGTATCCATTTGCTACGCATTAAGCCTACATAAGGTGTATAAACTTGCTAAACGAAAAAAGCGGTGTGCCTGCATACATGCATGCACAAAAACACAGAGACATAGGCGCGGACGGACTGACAGACAGGCAGACGGACAGGAGCAACAACACAGACCGGCATCCATAAAAATGTACGTACTTACATACAGTCAGTCAGTCAGTCAGTCAGTCAGTCAGCCAGTCAGTCAGTCAGCCAGTCAGCCAGTCAGTCAGTCGGCCAGTCAGTCACACAGGCAGGCAGGCAGACAGGCAGACAGACAGACAGACAGACATACATATATATATATATATATATATATGCTCACCCTTTCCACTTCAAAATGTACAAAATCCTCTTGTTTTAAAGACAGGGGGTGTGAGCACATATCGCAAGAAGTGTGGGTGGCAAGTCTGTTGAGTAACAATAGCGAAGAGTTTATAAACTTTCAGGAAAGTTTATAAACTATGTCAAGGGTTTGACGGTTTCCCTGCAGCAAGGCAACACCTGGGCACCTGGGGGGAGGGGTGGTGGTGAGAAGTCTTTAACAAAGTTGGTTGAGTCACATCCACCCCCCCCTCAAGGATACCATGACCAGCAAGAACTTTTCTGCAAGTTTATAAACCTTATGTAGGCTTAATGCGTAGCAAATGGATACTGTTGTTTGGGGATGCGGGTACGTAGCTAGCTAGGTGGATGTGAGGGCATGTATGTATGTATGTATTCATGCATGCATGCATGATGCATGCATGCATGCATGGCAGAGTACGTACGTGTGCATGTATGTAGGTAGGTGTGTATGTATGTATGTATGTATGTATGTATGTATGTATGTATGTATGTATGTATGCATGCATGTATGTATGTATGTATGTATGTATGTATGTGTGTGTGTGTGTGCGTGCGTGCGTGCGTGCGTGCGTGCGTGCCTGCATGCATGTAGGTAGGTAGGTAGGAGGTATGTATGCGTGTATGCGTGTATGTGGATGGATGGATGATGGGCGGGCGGTGGGTGGGTGGATGGGTGTATAGTACCTGTGTAGATGTGGATACGTGTGTACGTGTAGATGAATATATGTGTGAATGTCTGCAAGGCACGCATGTGTGCATGTGTGCATGTGTGCATGTGTGTATGTGTGTGTATGTTTTCGCACGTGTGCATGTATGCGTATGTGTGTGTGTGTGTGTGTGTGTGTGTGTGTCTGTGTACGTGTGCATGTGTGCCTGCGTGCATGTGCACATGTGTGCATCTGTGCATGTGTGCATGTGTGCATATATGTGTGTATATTTGTGAGTGTGTGTCTATGTGTGTATGTGAGTGCATCTGTATGTGTGTATGGTGGGTGTGTGGGTGTCTCTGCGTGTGCGTGTGTGTCTGTGTGTGTGAGTGTGTATGAAGGTAATTATGAAGGTGCGAAGGTGTGAAGGTGTGATTTTTGAGTGTATGAGTGTATGAATGTATGCATGTATGCATACATGAATGTGTTGCTGAATGTACGAACGTATCAATGTAAGAATGTAGGAAAGTCATGCATGCATGTATTTATACATGCGCACGTGCATGTTGTCTTCAACCTCTGAAGGAACCCCTTCGGTTGCGCGGCCCTAGTTTCCTTGAACATCGAACCAAATCAACCTGCAATTGATCCCTCCCGTCTGTTGCATTCGGATCGCTCGGGGGATCCACCCCGTCCGGTGGGCCCTGACCAACTTGGCCGGGTGGCGGCATTGTAGGTGACGATGGAAGTTGGCTCAGAGTTAATTTCGAAGAGGGCGAGCTGCCAGCTGATCCGTGGCATGGCTGAGCCAGCAGCTGCGGACGCGGGCTCAGCCCAGCGGTTGTTCAACAATGCATCCCGGAAGCTTTGGTTACACCTTAGCCATTCAAAAAGATTCAGGTTGTCCGAGGGCCCTGTTCTACCCAACTGCCTTGGCTTCGACCTGCCTAATAATTGTTTGTTTGCATATCCCCAACAAACTAAGGCAAATTGTAGACCACTCTACTAAAGTCGCAGAACAGATTTTGGGTGTTGCATGATGCTCGCCGTTGCAAGATTCTGGTTCGGCGTGAAACTAAAACTCAGAAATAACCTTCTGCGCTCCAAGAAATTTGGGTGGTTGTCCAAATGAGCGGCAGGTGTCACGCTGCGCCGCCTTCTAAGAGAACCCACAAGGGTTCCACAATTTGGACAACTAGCACTGTGATCCCTGATTCTTGCTTGCTCGCCTGCTTGCCCGATTGCCTGCTTGCCTGATTGCTTGCTTGCTGCTTGCATGCCTGCCTGCTTGTACTTGATTGCTTGTGTTTGCTTGTTGTGCCTGCCTCCTGGCTGGCTGGTTGGCTTGCTGGCTGGCTGGCTGGCTGGCTGGCTCGCTGGCTATTGGCAAATCGGCGAGCCCGCGAACCCAAAAGGGGCCAGGCGTTTTGACAATGAAAAGCAATCATACACTTCCTCGCTTGCTTGCCAACACAGGAAGCAGGCCACCAACACAATTCTGGCAGTGCGGGAGAGGTTGTGAGTCCAAAGATGAGGCTCGTAACCGAGGCAAATCAACCATGTTGTGGGTCCCAAGTCCCCAATTTCAAGCAGAAACATACGAGTCTGCCAGTGTCTGCTTGTCCCCTCCGGCAAACATCCAGACAGGGGGCGGTTGCTGGAGTGGCTCAACCAGAAACTAAGAACAGGCCATCGTGAGGCTTGTGAAAGTTGTGCATCTCGCAAAGTTGGATCTATAGAGCGCCAAGTGATACTTTACACCTTGGGCCCTGACTAGAAACAGGCCACATCTCAATAACAAAGAGGTCGAAAGGTCGGCTTTGGACAATCCTCGAGCCTGGTGTTACAGACCTCATGGCTCCAGAAACCTTCAGCTTTGCCATCGAGGCGTTCCTGACTAATGTTAACCCCGGATGAATACACCCTTGGTTACTTAATAGGGGGGTGTCCCCTGTTAGTGGGGATTCATCGCTTTTGGAGGGAACACACACACACACACCCTAAGAATGGGTGGGCCAGCGTCGGGCTGGTGGCAGTCCTTCCTGGCTGTCAGAGGCCGACAGAAAGGACCAAGACTGCTCACCTGGCACGTTCCAAGCGAAGCTTTTGACACAAAAGACGTTGCGAAAAGGGTGATTGGGGGTCGGAACGTCTGAATGAAGTACGGAACGGTTTGTTCCTCCCAGGAACTTGAATGAACCCGCCAGCAGGTATTCATGGTGCTTTGAAGCAAGCACACACCCCGGGGACATGTTACAAGCGTTTGGCCATGCAAAACCCCTTTCGAGCACGGCCTGCAACCTCACGATGCGGGGTCAGGACTCTTTAAGGTGGGAAAGTGCGAGGCTCAGCGGCGCGACCAGGTGGGGAAGCTGGGTGACTCAACCAGAGAAAGCGACAGGGTGCCTCATTGGGGGCACCGCTTAGCAAAGCGACTAGTGAAGACAAGAAGCCGATGAAGTCCAATGTTGAGGGTGTTGAGCATTCTCGTCTATGATGGTTTCCGGGGCCACTCATAATACATGATGATGCTCTTCTGACCTACATTCACTCCAAAATGAGAACCCTCCTTTGGTTGTTCAGAAGGGAGTTTAACAGTCATCTCAAGGGGTCTCCTGGTTTCGCGCACACCAGCGTCGCTAAGTAACAGGTTCATATGGCCTACGGCTTCCATGCGGACGACTTGCCCGCGCGCCTTCGGTGAAAACGTAGTAGGTCCAGCCCTTCACTAAGCCTCGGGCAAGGTGGGCGACAGCCACAGCAAACATTCTTTGTCCTCCTGTGGCATGGGAATTCGGTGAGTAGAAGCCCCCTTTCGAATGGCAATTCGCAGAGTGTACCCAATACTACTCCTTCACTGCAGCAAATGATGTTGAATATGAACTGATAGCTATCTCATTAGTCTGGACTGCGTTAACTGGAGGCTTGGCCCTTCTGACATAATCCCTAGGTCCGGAAATGCAAGGTAGCCCTTGGACATGAATACAGCAAAACATGGGAATGTTGAGAAACGAGGTTACAAACGATCAGTTGAACTTCGGGCTGCCAAAAAGAACTCGGGGCCGTGTTTGCCCCTTGCCTGAACACCTGTCAGGTTATCACTTGCAATATACACGAGTATACGCTTGTAAGGGTATACCGCATGTATAAGTGGTAACCTTATCCATACCTGAAAATGCCCTTGATATAAAGGTTGTGTAGGCTTTAACCCCCCTGAAACCAGAGAGTAGAAGCACCTCCCCTTTTGGCACGCCCTCCGCTTTCGCCAGGGGGCGGTTCACCTCCGGCAGTTCCTCCTCGCCGTCCTGTTCTTTTTTGCGCGGAGGGAGCAAAAGCACTATGCAGAGTAAAAGGAGATTCCTGATAGGGTACTGTTGACCCCATATTAGTCAACCCCAGTTTATTCATAGGGGGGTGTCCCGGGGTTTAGTGGGAATCATCACTTGTGGACCCACTAATAAGCTAGAGTTGATTAACATGGGGTCAACATTAGTCATCATGGCAATGCCATGCTTTAAAATAATGCTATGTTCACTATGCTGATGGAGTTTGTGACCATTGAATGTATCAACATACTGTGCTGGTGATACATCACCATGATTATCATTCTTGCCACCATTACGATGATGACGATGATGATCATGGTGAACACGCTGATGATGGTGATCTTGATGACAGAGGAAATTACTACAATTCCAACTGAAAGAAGTAATTCCCAAATCAGGAACCCTACACCTGAAACCGCTGTGCGAGCTGTCGCTATAGTTTGCCCATGAGGATGACGGCCATACAAGGGTAATGATGATGCTTGTGGTGGTCATAATCATTGTAATGGCAATACAGCTAGCATGATGGTGATGACAGCTACAATAGCGGCAATGACGATAATCAATGATGGCAGCAATCAGGATAACTACAGCAACATTGCTAGTTAGACGAATATCATCTCAAGAAAAAAATACTTCATTAGAATTTAGAATCGTTCTTTTGAACCCCCAGGCGAGATTCACATGCAGCGCATCCATGTCTGTCACCTTCAAAATGACTAACATTTACAAACAACTGCAATGATCAAATGACCCAATTCAAACAGAGGCGACTGACTCTGGGAGAAGCTGACATTCTGGAGATGACTGAAAGCCGCTCCTAAGCATAACAGATTACCACCAATGTAAGTTCGGGCTCCAGTCTTTCCCAGGTCAGTTGGGGCTCGCACGTGCACACGTGAAGCTCCTAAAAATGATGTCGCGCGCTCTCGTTGGTTTTCACTCACTCCGTGTCCTTTGAACATGAACCAAAAGGGACCCATTTCTTGTGCTCCGGCACACCAATACCGGCAATCCCTGCAAGAGCCCGAAGACGGCTTTGGGTGTGCTTCCTTCCCGACAGGAACCAAGCAGACGCTTGAGTTGAAGATTCAACACATCCGAAGCATAGGTCGGTGCACGGGTTCTGTGTTGAAGCTGAAACCCATACGATGGTTCCCTCAAATAGCGGCCTACCAAAAGAAACTCCGATTGTGCTCTTCCAACAAGGTATGTCCAAAACTTCCGAAAAGGAAACACTACTTCTGGGTCCATGTAAGTAGAGCCTTTAAAACTACTGTTGAAACATGGTGGTGAAGTATGGTGAAGTAAGTCATATAGTGATAACCCCAAACAAAACAATAGACCACATAACGATATTGTGGAACACTGTCGTTCATCGAGGGGTCACAGTGATGATAATTTCTAAAGGTAGTCTGAAACTCCATACCAACAAACAAGAACAACAGGAAGAAAAGCAGTTCGCTTTCATGAACTAGCAACGGCGCTTGCACAGCAATTGACATCCCTCGTTAGATACCCAGGCCCAAATCTACCAGCTATCTGCTTTCGGCATGGCTCAACTGGGATTCACATCTTCTACTGAGCATGTAAAAACAAAGCATGCAACAAACATGTTGGAACTGGAAAGGAGCGCCCACCACCTTCCCCCCCCCCCCCTCCCCACAAAAAGAAAAGAAGAAGAAAAGACTCCTGAGCCGTCCCCTTCCCCCCCCCCCACAAAAAAAAAGGAAAGAAAAAACACAAGGAAGGAAGAGAAGATTCCCTCGCTTGAATAAAGTCACAAAGCAGCAGAAGGGGGGACAGTCATAGGTGGCCTTTTGGAAAAATAGATGGCCCTGGTAAATGAACAAAACCCATCTAAACCAGTGCCATATTTTTTTTAACCAGGCTCACCTAAAAAGAACACCTATGGGCCCAGTGCCCAGTTCGCGCTTCCTCGGAGGTGAGGCTGGTGACCTGCACCCGGCGCCGGAAGAAGGACCTGACGCAAACGACGCGTGGCACCCGTGGGCGGGATCACCAGACCCCATGGGACGCATGGCTTAGCCTGCAGCCATTGCTAGGGTCCTGCAGATTTGAGAGGTTGGAATAAGGGACACGAATATTTTTCTTGTTTTCCTTTTCCGTTTTTTTCGGTAAAAGGGGAGAGAAGGACACTACTGGGGACCTAGATTGGGAACCTCCCGTAGTTGTTTGGACAACATCCTGATTAGGAACACATGAAACCCTGTGAATACTGGGATAAATCGCCTGCCAAGTGATACGAAGTGGACTTTGTCCATCCACTGGGAATCACCAGAGTTTGGGAAAGGAACCTGGGGGTGCCCTAGGGAAGCCACAAGGAATGGTGGGGCGGTCTCTAAGTTCCCTAGTGAACCGACAAGGAAAAAGGACATCAAACTGCGCATCTGCCAAAATGGATTTCGGCCGTGTCGTTTCCCTTGAAGCCTAGGTGAAAAGCGCGCCAAGGCCACACCGCCATGTTCCCGGCTCAGTTTGAGGCCAATCCCACTCCTTTCCTACCGAACCAGCAGGAAAACAGACAGA